AGGGGAGAGAGAGGGTTAGGCGAAGTTAGGCGAAATAAGCGAGCAAGCACCACCGTGTGTGTGTGTGTGTGTGTGTGTGTGTAGCTGTGAAAACACAAGACAGCAAGTCATTAGGCATGAAGTTGAGTAAGAGAGTTTTGTTTCATTTTGAAGTCAGTTTGGGAAGAAAGGAATCACAATGGCCTGCCAACGCCCAGGGAGACTTCCGGCAATGGGAGGAACTGATTCTGCATTGTGGGTTCATCCTTGCACCCCACTCCTGGCTGGAGCCCTGCGCTCAGTATTTATGTGTTAAATAAATCAAGAACTGATTTTCAGGGATTCAGTTTAGCCCACACTCACAGCAGCCCTACTAAGCAGGTGCTGTCACCTTCCTGGCTTACCATGAGGAAACTGAGGCAGAAACACAATACACTGTCCGAGTGGACCCTTCCATGGCAGGCTGCCTGCCCACCCACCTCCACCCAGAGGTCACCTCAGGGTTTCCAGCTCATGTCCAGCCCCCTGGAGTGGCGCGACTCACCAGTAGGGCGTCCCTATGAAGGAATCTCGCTTCTGCAGAGTTTTCAGATTCTTGGCAGACACACCAAAGTCAGCTGGAAGACAGAGTCCCAGATAAAATATGTGAGGGACAATCCTCCACCCATGGCCCCGGGGGAAGGCCACGATGTGGACTCAGGGATGTTCAATCACTGTCCAGCAGAATACAGATGCTGAAAAATGGAGCACCATCTGGAGCTGTGAAATGTCCCGATGGTATCCTCCCACCGTCAGCAAAAACTGGCAGGGGCCCTTGGGAACGCTGTCTGGCAATAACAAAAACCTTTAGAGCATCTGTGCCCAGGTGACACAGTAATTGTAACCTAGGGAGCTTCTAAGGAAAAAACACTGAATCAGCAATGAATCTGAGACAACCACAATCGCTATCTTTTTTACTGTCATTAAAAAAAAAAAAAACCTTTTTATGTGTAACATACATTAAATCTATCCTGTCTTTTTCAAAAAGATTTTAAGATTCTCTCTCTCTCTCTCTCTCACACACACACACACGAGCAAGATAAAATAGGACATTCACAGAGGTAAGACAGCAGGTATGGCAGGAGGATCCCAAATTCCCAGCCTGGGCTGTATACCAAAACCCTGCCTTGAAAAACCAAGGGCTGAGGACGCAGCTCAGCGGTACAGCATTTGTCTAGCAGACACAAGGCCTTGGGTTGTATCCCTAGCTCTGCCAGAGAGAGAGAGAGAGAGAGAGAGAGAGAGAGAGGAGAGAGGAGAGAGAGACAAGACAAGGTCAAAGGTAAACATGGAATAGTTTAAGAAAAGCCATACAAAGCTGGTGGAGTAGCTCAAGTGGTAGAGCACCTGCCTAGTAAGTGCAAGGTCATGAGTTCAAACCTCAATACCATCAAAAAAAAAAAAGGAAAAGAAAAGCCACTTGGTTCCCCCACCCCGGGCCCCACGAGGGTCTCTGTAGTCACTAAAATTAGTTCTGAAGTACTTTTCCATTGAGGTGCAGCTCGGCTAATGCAGACACTGTCTGGCATTGAGGAAGTACTGCAGTGGCCTCGCTGGCTGTGTGAGGGGATGAGGAAACCGCACAAGGTTCCTTCCACTTTCCAAGTTCTGTAACTTCCCTGTGATGTGACTTTCAGGACTAACAAAAAACAAATCTTTAAAATTTATCTCTAAATGCACCCAGCACTTGAACTTTCCTCCCCAGCCCACAGCAAAGAGAAGAACCCAGAGGTACACAGAGAAATGCCCTCGGGGCATTCAGGGTGACTGAACAGGGGAGGCCCTTGGAGAGGTCCCTCCTCCAAGCGCAGCTGGACGCTAACAGTGCCTGGCCCTAAGGAACCTAAGGTTCTAAGAAACGAGGGTTACTACACTGCCTGGGCTAGGCTGTCCACCCAAGTCCATCAGGCCACTAGCAACTGCTGCGTTCAGAGCTTCAAGCACACTCACGACCTCACACAGAAGAGGCCCAGTGCTCAGAGCCCAGACACTTGTCCTCTTTTCTGGGTTCTTTTGGTCACTGTGCAGCCAACTGAACAGAGTACACAGTGGGGACAGAGCAAACCAAGCCCTTGCCCTGGGATAGCTCAAAGTACAGGGGTGGAGGCAGAGAGCAGCCCTGTCCACACAAGAAGTCACAGGAGGAAGAAGGAAGGGGTGGGGCCTGGAGGAGGCGCAGCCCAGAGCCTCTGAGCAAGTCACTTATTCAACAAATATGAACTGAAGTCTTCCATGTGCCAGGCACTGCTCTAGGTGCCTTCACAGTCCTCTCCTCAGGAAGCTCGGCATTTCAGTGGTGGGAACACACCACCAACTTGGCATGGTTCCTGGAGGACAGGAATCCTGGGGGCAGCAATTCAGGTAGGGGGTAGGATTTTCTGGCTGTGACCCAGGCAGGCCTTGAGAATTTAGGCCGAGGCAGGGCTTAGCTGAACTGAGGCCCTTTCCTGGGAGTGGTCAGAGAGCTGGTCTCCAGGCCCTGGGAAGTGCCAACTGGACAGACAGAGTTGCTGTAAGGGGGCAGTTTGGCCAGAGAGGAGACGAGGGCCCTGTCACCTCCTGGGGTGGGATCGGTAGTGACTGCAGGTGAGGCTAAAACACAGAGGCTCAGTGTCCCCTTCCTGCTGGGTCAGCCTGGGCCTGTGTGGACCTGCTTCCTCTGCAAACGCAGGGCCGGCACTATGTTCCTGCCCAGGCAATCCCCTGGGCACAGTGACAGCCTCTTAGACCCGGACGAAGCTCCCCATGTGGCCCCACTGACCCCTTCCTGAGGAGGGGAACAAGACTGAAGCCACAGCTTTCACAATGACACAGCGGGACCAAAGGCCTCCCTGAAACAGCGCCAGCCAGCCTTCCCTGCGGCTGCTACTTCCCCTTCCGCCACCCAACATGGAGCCCAGCCAGGAGGGAGCTCCTTGCAGCCCAGGGGCGCTGGCTCTCCTGGGCAGCAGCAGGGTGGCCCAGCCCTGCAATCCCTGCCTGGAGTGCAGAGGGGTGGCCTGAGCACTGTTACCTGTGACCTCTTCTGATGGAAAGAAACCAGGCCCCACAAGGAGGGAGGGATCCCCAGACCCCATTTCCACACAGCCGTCCCCAGCACCATGGTGGCAGCACGAAGCACTCAGCAGGTTTAGGAAGGGACGCTGGTCATCACAGGGGAACAAATCCGCACAGGCTTTGCTGGACGCCTTCACTCTCTGTCCCCCCCACCCCCAAATCCACACTTTCACTTCCCACAGTGTCAGTGACCTGCGGTCAGCCGCAGCTAAAAATATTACATGGAAAATTCTAGAAATAAATGACTCCTAGGTTTTAAATAACGTCCATTACTATGTCCATCGCTCACTGTGGCTACTTTATATACCAAATGGCACCATAGGTGTGCGTGTCTAGGGAAAAGGTAAACGTGGGGTTCAGTCATTCCTGGGCCTCCAACCGTCTGCTGTGGGTCTTGGGATCACTGTATGTTTTTAAAAAAATAAGTGGATTTAAAAAAAAAATGTGTTTGACAGTAATTCTACTTCTGGAGACAGATTTCCAAAATCAGATTTATAACACAGGTGACCGCTGTGAAAGCCGGTCACGAGGACGAGCTGAGGACACTGAGCTGCTCGCGGGAGCATGGAGGTCAACAGTCACGTGCACTAGGCTCTCGGGCCGTGGACTAACATGCAGCCCTGAAAAAGAGCGTGCTGCAGCTGCAAAAGCTAACTGCCAAGTCTGCCTTAGCACATTACCTCGGACATGCTGTTTAGATCACAGAGCACCCCGACACGCATGTAGCCTGTACCTCAAAGAGAGATGCCTGTGACTGTGTAACACGTTTGCCGGATCCCAGTGCAGGGTCTGGAGGGCTGCACAGCAAACCAGAGGTGGCGACCTCCCTGGTGTGGGATTCTGGAGCAGGTGATACGCAGAGGGGGCCTTACGGGTTTTGCTTTATGCACATTTACTCTTTCAAATGCTTTGGATGGAGAGGATTGCTTTTCTGGTTTAAAAAACAGAAATGCATGCAGCAACTCAATTTTGGTTTTGTGGGTTTTTTGTTTTTTCTCTCTTAAGTAAAACCAGGATGTGGTGAGAGAATTTCGCACTCTGCTGGGGGGTGGGGTGAAGGGCTTGAACGGAAGGGAAGCAGCTGCGGCAGGCAGGTGCGAACCACGCCCGGCCACGGCACAGGCCCAGGATTCCTCCTGCAGGAGCCGTCCATCTCAGCAAGAGGCTCAAAGACCCCTCACAGCATGGGTGAGAACCCACCCGCGGCACCGACACACCCAGCACAGTGCCCTCTGGGGTAAATCACGCCTCGTGCGTTCGGAACGTAAGAAAAACACACAAGTGGCCGGTCCACGGGGAACGCTTACGCACTGATACTACCGACGCCAAAGCTAGAAATTAGGTGACGTGAGACGAGGCGGTCGGCAGGAGTGGCGGTGGAACGGCCATCGCGGGGGCCGGGGAGGGCGGCAGGACGGATCTCAGGTCGGTGGGGGGCCGTGCTGACAGCAGTTAACTGCATGTTCCAAAGAAGACAGGCATGGACACGCCCGACACGGCTGTCACACCCTGGACACACGTGTGGAAACTTCACCGTACGATCACTGTGTGCCGGTAAAGAACGAGAGGCGCATTTTGAGAAAGGCACACCTCTGTCTGCACACTTTCAGTCAGCTCTGCGTCACTTACGATCCTAGCACGGAAAACTGCAAAGAGTCCATTGCAACTTCTAAATGAACTCATGTCCTCGTGAGCATGTGGACATGTGCGATCGTGCGTAGGTGCAGTCTGTCTGTCTATATGGAGGTTTGGGGTGTTGGGCACTGAACCCAGGCCTCAAGCAGTTAAGCACAGGCTCTAACCACCACGCCACACTTCCACACTCGGGTATTTTTGATCCGTGGTTGGTAGAAGCTGAGGGTGCCCAACCTGTAGCTCTGGAGCGTAGACTACATTTTCTATTTTTAAAAAATGCAATCAGAGCACCTCCCTGGTAAGTGTGAGGAACTGAGTTCAAACCCAAGTACCGAAAAAAAAGAAAATGCAGTCAGATTAAACACCATTTCACAGTTCATAGGAAGTACCGGATGTCCTTCTTTGTTTCTGGGACAGGGCTCGCGCTATGTTGCCCAGACTGGTCTGGAAGTCAAGTTCAAGTGATGCCGCACTTCAGCCTCACTAGCGGCTGTGACTACAGGTGTGCACCACCAAGCCTGGCTCTGCATTACACATCTTTGCAAGAGAAGCTTAATTTTCCACAGTTGAGAAAGACTTCATTGTATGATGGAGCCATAACTCACTTAACAAATCCTTTCCTGGAGCACACTCACCTGGTCGTTTCTGATTTCTTGCTTACACTGCTTCCACCAGCATGAGTGAGAGGCAACTGTCAATGCCAGCAGTGCCCTGTGGGACAAACACTAGCCAGGCCCCTGTAGGCCAAGAGTGGGGACAGAGGAAGCAGAGGCTGGAAGCCGGCCCAGCTCCCAGGGGCCTCCTTCCTGGATCGCAGCAGGGAGGCCTCTCGTAATCACAGGACATCTGCATTCCAGCTTCACTGTGTCAAGGTGTCAGTGCCAAACAGGGAGGTGAGGAGCTGCGTGTGACTGCAAACACATGGCCCATCTCTTGGGTCTTATTATCTAGCTATGAGGCAGAGATCATTCACGTGACTTTGTGTTTTGGTTTTTTTTTTTTTTTTTTTGGTGGTACTGAGGTTTGAACTCAGGGACTCATGCTTGCTAGGCAGATGTTCACATGGCTTGAGCCACTCCCCCGGCCCTCACGTGACTTTACTACAGTCTATTGCTGTAACTGTTCTACTTTACTATAATCTCTGACTGTGTCTGAATTATAAATTAAACTTTATCCTCAGTAGGTATGCAGAGCAAAAACAGTAGTGAGAGGATTTGGTCCCATCAGTTTCAGGCATCCACTGAGGGTCTTGAAATGTGGATAAGGGGGGACCATGGCACACAGAAGAATCTGGACCCTGGTTTGCTGGAGCAGGAACCAGGGATGCTGGTTAGGGTGATGCTGGGGTGAGAGATAGGTGACTGACCTTGCCTGGCCTTCTGCATATCAAGGGTCCTTGGGGAGTTACAGAACCTGAGGTAATCACAGACCGAGGTGAGGGTGAGACTGGAGGTGACATTTGTTCCTGCATACCTGCTGCATTCCAAACGCATGCTGGCTGACACCTTCCTGGAACTTGAAAGTCCCCGAGGGCTGTGGCATTCATCACCTACCTTCATAGAAGAACTGGGCTGGAACTCAGGTGCCTGTGGTGTGGGACACCCACCTCGAGCAGCTATACTGGGACACTCCCCACACAGGACAAAGCCGCACACTGGCTGGGTGTGCGGTTCCTGCCACACTCGGGACTTGTCCAAGGTCACCCTATGCTAAGTGGCAGATCCAGGACAAGATCACAGGTTTTCCCACTACAAAGTGCACACCCACAAATACCCCAATATTCCAGGATCCCTTTCTCTCTGCAAAAACAACTCCACTTGCTGATCCACAACTGCTTCCCACCCACGCTGGGCTGCAGCTGGGCTGGACCTGACACCTATCAAATAACATTAAAGAAACTTGAAATCCTAACACAAGGAAGAAGCAAAATGCCCAGTGTGGAGGGAGACATGGCCATGAGTACCTGCCTCCATGTGAAGGTACTCTGTCCTCCAACTGCCACCCAGTCACACAGTGAGAAGGTTCCATGGTCACCCCACTGTACAGAGGAAGGAACTGAGGTTCAAATGGCTTACTGGGTTCTGCAGAGTACACAGAAGTGGTAGAGCCAGGATTCAACAAGGCTTGTCTGTGTCTAGCTCTGCAGTCACCTGTTCTATTCCCACTCTGCCAAAAAGCACAGGCTGTCTCTACGGAAGGAACTGATGCCGGGAGAAAGGCCTAAAGAGCAGTTGCCTATGGTCTGAGTGCAGTGGTGGGGGCTCCAGGGGCCAGAGGGTAGGAAGAGGCCAGCAAAAGACCCTGGGCTCCAGGGCCTCTTGCACTGCTCCAATAGGCTGCCGATTCTGAGCTCGTGGGAGGAGGATTTCCAAACAGAACAGGCCCAACAGGTGTTCACACCATGGCCAGGGGCCCAGCGAGAGTTGTGTGATTCACTACTGTCCCTGGACTTTCTTCCTCCTTAACTGGCTTCCTGGTGGGGAAGCTCCCCCAGTCAGGACACCTCAGCCATGACACCCCAGTCACGACACCACACCCAGGACACCCTGCGAGGCACCGCAGGCTCTGCCCGCCATTGCCCCCCATGCCCAGTGCCCTCACCTAGCCGGATGTCCCCCTCCAGGGTCATGAGCACGTTGCCAGCCTTCAGATCGCGGTGGATGATCTTCTTGCTGTGCAGGAAGTCAAGGGCTTCCAGCATCTGACGACACACAACCTGGATCTGGGGTTCGGTGAGGCCTCGGTCCAGTTCTGGAAAAGAGGGGGTGTTACTGTCTCTTCACCCAGCAGGAGGGGAGCAGGAAGGACTGATGAGTGGAGGTCAGAGGTGGGCAGGGCCTGGCAGCCCCTCTGTGTCAGGCTATGCTATCTGAAACACAGCAGGTGAACTCAGGATGGTCTGAGCAGGGAAGACACAATCATTTTTCACCTACAAATTCCCTCTGGTGCAGTGAAGGGCTGCAGGGCTCAGCCAGAGGCCGTCACAGTGGCCTGGGCAGATCAGAGCTGGCCAGGGAGGAGAAGAGCAGAGATGACTGGATGGATGGGGGCTGGTGACAGAGATGGGGCTGAGGGGATGCAGTGGGAGATGGAGTGATCTCTATGAAGGGCCACCTAAGGCCCCTGGGCTCAGGGCCTCCCTGGTGTCTCAGGCCCGGCTTGAAGGCACTGTGGTGCCTGTTCTGCCCACAGACAGGAATCCACAAGGCTCAGTCTCCCTTTCCAGGTCCCTCAGGATGGTAAAAATAAACACAAAGCCGGAGCTGCAGAATCCACCTGCACTGCCCAGGGGAAACAGGCCCCAGAGTGGCCCTGGAGCAGGGCCCCCATCTCTGGGGTCCATAGGCTGCTCCCCTCGCTGTGACCTCATCTCTTTTATTTTCTGGAGGTATGGGGATTTGAACCCAGGGCCTGGTGCTTGCTAGGCGGGTACCCTACCACTTGAGCCCCAACCCAGTCCTTTTTGCTTCAGTGATTTTCAGAAAGGATTAGGTACTTTTGCCCAGTCCAGCCTGGACCATAATTCTTCTACCTACACTCCTGCATCACTAGGATTACAGACATGTGTCACCACACCTGCTCCCTCACATACACCCCCCACACACCTTACAACCTTGTCTTTAAACTCTGTGTCCCCAGCAGAGCCAGCTCAGAGCCTTTATGGGCCTGGGGAGCTGTGTGGTTTCTGGCAGTGTCTCAAGCTCTCTGGGCCCTCATTTCCTGGTCTGTAAAGTGGATGACAGTAATGACGGTGGCTCCACTGGTACAGAACAGTGAGCTCTCAGGCAATCAAAAGGTGTTACTGCTATGTTTGCTCTGAGAGGCTGGACCACAGCTAAAAAAATTTGTTTTGCTCAAAGTAAGAATGATAATGACATGGGCGTGGTTTAAGTGGTGGAGCGCCTGTCTGACAAGTGCACAGCCTCAGGTTCAAACTCCAGTACTGCCAAAAAAAAAAAAGAGAATGATGATGACAAAGATGACTGTGGACTAATCACCTCCACATGTGAGCTCTTAAAACACACCAGGCACGAGGCTGAGGCCTCAGTGCATTACTTCATTTAATCCTCACCATAACCCGACGAGGTAAAAATGATATATTCTTCAGTCAGGTTTGTTGAGGTGCAATTCACATGCAGTAAAATTCACTTTTATTGGCCAGGTGTCGAGGCACATGCCTATAATCCCAGCCCTTGGGAGGCAGAAGCAGGAAGATGGAAAGTTTAAGGCCAGTTACACAGTGAAAGAGACAAACTCACTTTCATTAATGGGTACAGTCTATGAATTCTGATACACCATGCAGTCACATACTCCCATTACAATTTGGAGACAAAGAGACCATGGGGACAGAACCAGGGTGGAGGGCCATGCAAAGCCTCTGGGCATCTGACTTAGGAGGCAGGGCGAGCCCTGTCTCTGGCAACAGCGTGGGGCTGGAAGAAGACTTACCCAGCATGATGGCATCCACGGCTCCCCCAGGACAGAACTCAATCATGATCTGCAGAAGACATGAGGCAGAGTCACAGGGGTCAGACCCCGCCACAGGTGTTGGTGGCCTGCTCCCCAGCCTTCCCCTCCTGCCTGGCCTGTCCCGTCTGCCCGCCTCCCTCACCGGTCTGTCCCCAGCCACCACACAGGCTCTAACACTAGGGGAGTTGCTGTGTGCTTCATTCTTCAGAAAAAGAACAACCCAAGTGCCAGGGAGAGCTAAAGCTTCACGAGGGCCTCTCCAGCCAGGCCCACAGCCTCCCTGTCTCTCCAGCCTGACCAACTCAAACCCATTGCCCACCACCCTGTGTGTTACGTTCTACAGACAAGAGCCTCAGTGGGTACCTACTCTACCCACATACGAGCAGCTATGACTCCAGGACCCTGCGCCCAGCTTTCACCTCCACCTGCCAAAGCCTGCCCTTGCTGACCAGGAACCTCAGAGCATAAGCTCCTTGAAGGTCAGCTCAAGTAAGGAAACTGAGGCCCAGAAAGGGACTGAGCAAAGCCACACAGAAGGGTTAGTGGCAGGTCCTACACTGGAAAGCAGGTTTTTTAACCTGGGGACATTCATAACTTCTCCATCCACCCATCAATTATTCATCCACCCACCCACCCTCCCACCCATCCGTCTATCCATTCATCCATCCATCCATTTATTCATCCACCCATTTGTCTGTCCATCCATCTACCCGTTTGTCCATCCATCTATCCACCATCTACCCATCCATTCGTCCACTTGCCAGCTCACCCATCCTTTCATCCATCCACCCATTCATCCATCCATCCATCCACCCATCCCCACCCACCCACCCAACCATCCATGTATCCATTCATCCATTTATTCATCCATCCATCCATCACCCATCCATCCACCCATGTATCCATCAATCCACCCACGCATTCATCCATCCATCCTCCCACTAACCCATCCACCCATCCATCCATCTACCCATCCATTATCCACCCACCCACCCATCCATTTATCCATTCATCCATCCATCCATTTATTCATCCACCCATTTGTCTGTCCATCCATCTACCTGTTTGTCCATCCATCTATCCACCATCCATTCATCTATCCATCCACTCATCCCCACCCACCCACCTATCCACCCAACCATCCATGTATCCATTCATCCATTTATTCATCCACCCTTCCATCCATCCATCCACCCACCCATCCACCCATCCATTCACCCATCCATCCATCCACCCACCTATCCATGTATCAGTTCATCCATTTATTCACCCATCCATCCATCCATCCCACACCTACAGCACACCTAACAGATGGGGAGCTGTGGGAGAGGAACCCGACTTGGGCTGTAGTGCAGGGGACAGAAGGGGATTATCCCAGTGAGCAGTGCTGTGGGTGGGGACAGGCTTGCTCTCATTTTCACACTTTCCGGCACACCAGGACTCCTGTCCTAGATTGTACAGAGGCTTTCTCATCTTCCTGAAGTGAGGACAGAACCACAGACTGCCTCAGTTGGGGTGGGCTGGGCAGGGAAGCCCCTCTAAACAGGAAGGCAGTGCTCAGTGGTGACCTGTCTGGACCCATGCCAACTCTCAGTGGCGGAGGGAGGAGCGGCCACAGGACTTTGATGGGTGTCCAGTTTGTGGCTGACCTTCCTGAGGCTTCCTGCAATGTAAATGAGGACGTGGTGAGTAACACAGGGCTTTGGGGCCGGCCATGGCAGGGTCCATGTCCCAGGGGGCCTGTGGAGCTGCTCTGACCGTCAGAACCCCCATCCTCAGATGGCCCCTGACCATGGCCCACTGCTGGGCTGTACTGGGGACCAGCCACGGCCAAACAGGGCCCTGAGGCTGGGCAGGGACACAAGAGGGACCAGGTCTGGGGAGCAGCAAGACAGGGGTCCTGTCAGTGTGGTCACAAGCAGTTACATGCTGGGGACATCACAGGCCAGAGAAGAGGGCTGTGAGGGGCACTGCCCACCAGGAGGAAGGATGCAGCTTGCAGCTTCTGAGGCCCCTGCAGTCACCTGCTCCTGCCTGGTCATCAACACTGGCTTCCTCAAACTTCTCTCTAACATGACAGTGACCTATCCCCTGATTATTTCATCTCTGATGAAATTATCTCGTGTGATGCACAGCATGAGGAGGGGTCTTTACCCATCTGATCCCCATCATTCATTCACTCACTCACTCTTTTTTTTTTTTCTTTTTGCGGTACTGGGGTTTGAACTCAGGGCCTACACCTTGAGCTACTCTGCCAGCCCTTTTTTTCGAGATAGGGTCTCACCAACTATTTGCCCAGGCTGGCTTGGAACCGCAATCCTCCTGATCTCTGCCTCTTGAGTAGGTAGGATTACAGGCGTGAGCCACCGGCTCCTGGCTGCTTTTTTTGATTTGAACTCAGGACTTTGCACTTGTTGGCAGGTGCTCTACCACTTGAGCCACTCTTCCAGTCCTTTTTGCCCTGATTATTTTGGAGCTAGGATTTTGTTCTTTGCCCAGGCTGGCCTGGACTATGATCCTATTTTAGGCTTCCTGTGTAGCTGGGATGCCAGGTGTGCACCACCACACTGTTTTTTCCATTGAGATGAGGTGTCACAGACTTTTTGTCTGGACTGGCCTCAAACCTCAATCCACCCAATCTCAGCCTCCCAAGTAGCTGAGAGAACAGGCATGAGCCACCGGTGCCCAGCCCACCCCCTCTCTGTGTGACCACACTGTTCCAAGGGGTCAGGGCACCGAAGCTCTCGGAGCATAGGCCATCCTTCTCCCTTTACTAACGCTCAGCTCCACAAGAGGACCAAACCCTCCTGCTCACTGCTAGAAAAAAACCAGCTATAAGAGACAACGGAACAGAAATGACTCCTCGTCCCTGTGGGGGACACCAAAGCTAACCATCCCTGGGTGGGGTGACGCCACTCACCCTGGCAGGACCACCATGCTCACCTAGACATGGACAGTGCCTGGCCCCACAAGAGGCTCAGTCACTCCCAGAGGCTACTCGACTCCCTCCTGGGGTTGGGGGACATTTTCTTTCATTTGTTTCTGGTTTGTTTTCTGTCATTTCTCTTTTCACCGAGAACGCGAGTAGGAGCAAAGGTTTGTGTGTGATTCCACCAAATTCTCGCAGGACCCGAAGCTCTGTCATGCAGCCCAGGTTCGCGGCCTGCACACGGCTTCCTCAACACCGCCAGCATGGCCTCCACCTGTCACCAGATCCCCCGCTGTGACATGGCTTCTCCTGACCACGACGCTCTCCTGCAAGGACTGGTGAGCATGTCAACAGCCCAGATGTGACGAGTGGCAGGGACTCAACAGTGCACATGTCCCCCTTCTCTAACGGGGCTCCCCCCGGAGGAAAAGGTAAAGGCTCAGTTCTGGCTGTGACCATGTGCCCGTCATATTGCCCTTATCGTGTTGATTAGGTTGCCCACAAAACAGGCCTTCCCAGAACTAGGACAGACTGACATGCCCCCAGCCCCTATCAAGAGTCGGGTGCAAGCAGAAGCCAGACCCAGGTGGGCCTGGCACCCTTCAGAGAAAGTATCACTTGCAGGAAGGACATTCTTACACAGGGTCCCCACCACTCAGCTGGGCCCCAGCCAGCACCGGGACGCCTGTGAATTCTGACAACCTGGCTTCCTTCCTCCTCTGCAGTTTGGGAGCTTATACGACCCCAGTGTTTCCCTTTTATTTCTATTTTTGCCTTGGCTGCTGGGAAGCTCTGAGTGCAGGGAGCTTCCTCAGTGCACTGGTCTTACAGCCTCCGCTTCCACCTTCAGAGGCTGGGGCTCCCACAGAGCTAAAGAACCTCAATAGTAAGAAATAAAATTGTCGGCTTTCGTTTCTGTGGGTTTGGCATGTGTGGATTCAACCGACCTCAGATTTAAAATATTCAGGAAAAAAAAGCGTCTGTACTAAACACAGAATGTGTTTTCCTTGTCATTGTGCCCTAAACAAGGCAGTCAAACAACTGCTCCCTTTGTTCTACACCGTGTAGGGTATCCTAAGTCGTCAGAGGTACAGAGGTGAAGTAAGGACATGGAGGTGAGCGTGTGTGAAAACATTAGGCCATCTTATTTATGTAAAATCTGGGGACTCTGCACCCACAGATTTGGGACCTGGAGCTGACCGCCATGCACACAAGGGACAAGTGCAATGCTGGTGGTCACTCTTGGTACCCTGAGAAGTCACTAGTGATGGCGCACACCCAGAAAGATGGATGTTTGCACTTGGGGACGGGTCACAGGTTTGTACTTTTACATACGCTATGCGTTTGATTCAATCAACATATGTTATGACTTTTTTACCAGAAACAACAGGTTTTGAAATGGGAAGGGCTGGCCCAGCACAGCTATCCTTTGGAGGGGGACAGGTGTCTCTGCCGCCCGTGATGAAGGCCTGGTGGCCAGGCCAGAGCTTTGGGGACAGAGGCAGATACCTCAGAGTCTAGATCAAGGACTCCAAGCCTCACCAGGCCCCCAGTCCTGCAGGATCAAGCACCATTGACTGACTCTGTGATCCCGTCTGGGCCGCCATGGTGTCTGAGGGCTCAGGGTGTTTTGATGGCCTGCTGAGCTGTGGTCACTTCAGTGTGTCCACAGTATCAGCTGAGTGTCTACCAGGGGCCCCCCATTGCCAGGCACAGCGAGGACTACCAAAATAGTATTCGATCAACACACGCTACTGAGCTCCCAGTCTGTGATAAGCCTGGGGTCTGGGGCCTCAGGATGAGTTAGCACCCTACCCCGAGACCACCAGCAGAGGAAGATGCAGAGGTGACAGGTGGAGGCGCACAGTGACGGTGGAGGCAGTGATTAAGCAGCCTGGAGCTGTCCAGAGGGCTTCCCAGAGGAAGGCTATTTTCTTTCACTTTTCTTTTGGTGCTAGGGATGGAACCCAGGGCCTCATGCATGCTAGGCAAGTGCTCTGCCATTAAGCTGCACCCCCAGACCTATTTTATTTTATTTTGAGACAAGGTCTCCCAATGTAGCTAAGGCTGGTCTCAAATTCACAATCCTCCTCCGTAAC